AATAAGTAAAGATTAAAAAATATAGTATTGTCTTAATCTTGGGGGCAATAAAATGAATTATAAAAAACTTAGAAAAAATAAAATTAAACGGGGTAGTAAATAGGGCGAGGGCCCCGCCTCGCCTTAAACAGGTAAGGGGCTGAGAATTGCCCACGCCGTCCCGTTCTGTTGCCATTCCTAACCAAAATATAATTACCTCATTAATTAATTTTCAATCTTAAGCACAACAATTTATTTTGTGGCATCACTAAAATATTCTGAGTGCTCCATTACTTTGTGGATTCATTAGTGCTTAATTTTGGTCTGCCACTTAATTAATTAATCTAGAAACAGTAACAATTTTTTACTATATAATACCAACTTCAGCGGCTGGTAAATTCCGCAGGGCAAGTTTTCACTACAAAAAATCACAGAAATTTTCCCCGACGGACTATCCAATGCTATTTACGGTGTCGGTGAGAAAACGTCGATGATTGGTACGAAAAGCAACTATCCAAAATGTAAGAGGTTGACGTCGGTGTACCTCGGAAGGCAAATTTGAAGTTCGATTTCCATTCCCTAATCTGTTAAAAAAACAAGAATCATCTTTTTCTTTTTCATTATGATTATCCTTTAAAAAAAAACCACTTGTGTCATCATTACCCTCGAAAACCAATCATAAGTTTCGACAAGATAAATTAGGGTGGAAGGTCAGCAATAGACAATCATTATGCCCTTAAAGCCGTCATTCTTCACTAATCGGAGACCTTCTGCACCTCACTAGGCACACCATCCATCCAAGTAAAAGTCATGTAGCCCAATTTGATAAGGAGAGACTTTTATGCTAGTTCATTGAAAGGTGGTGCCATGTAGCTTTTTACCATCAACACTATATAGCTATTGGTGGTTCCTCCATCAACACGTTGAGAATTAGTTGATGATGAAGCAAAAGGGAAGAACTCCTTAGACCCCTGCAATCCTAAAATGTTGTAAAAGACACCCAACTAGTAAATAATTAAACAGAGCGACTAAACAAGACACAATAAATAGTAGGGGTAGGCCAAAAAAAAAGGAAAAAATCGAACAAACCGACCGAACCAAATCTAGTTGGGTCGGTTTGAACAAAAAAATTGATTTGTTTCGATTAATTTATACCATCAAAAGTCGGGTAGTTGGTTGTGGTTTAAACGACCAACCTGTCGATTAATCGAACTAACCTACTTATACATTTTTTTAAAAAAAAAAATTTCATTTTAAAGTTAATATTTTAAACTTAAAAAATAAAATAATAAAAACATAAATATAATTCTTTTTCAAATAATTTGTCTACCCTCTATGTTTTTTTAAAACCAAAACTTCAAATTGCAAAAGGAAAAAAAAAAGGCATGAAGAAAAATTGTTTATTGAAAACTCCAAATTATTATAGCCTTATTTTTCATTTTGATGTAATTATTTGTTGGTCAATAGCTAACCAAACCAAATCAAACCGAACCGATTTGGTTTGGTCAATATATAGCTAAATTGAGTCGATTTGGATTGAAATTTATCCAAATCGACCAAATAAGTGAATTTGAATAATACTATAGGTACATTTTACATTGAAAGTTACTAGTTCAACTTTGACATTATCTAATAGGTGAATAAAACAGAGTTAAATTTACTAATTAAAAGCAGCAATCACTTTTTAATTGTTCTAAATGTTTAGTCAATCAAATCAAGTTATCTTATGTTGAATTGCACAATAAATAATTAAAACAGTAAATAACACAATATTTGATGACGGAGGCCCTTAATTGGGTAAAAACTCTGGGACGAAGTTGGTAGTTTACACTACAGATAATAAGAACTTACAATATGATCCAAATTTAGAAAATCCACTAGACTCGTTGATCTAATTCTTGCAATTTTTAAGACCCGTTGGAACGTGTTTTACTCACACCTACTCCCGATTTTCTGGAATTTTTATATCATGTGGATCACCAAGAATGCCTTGTTCTTGTACTCTTCCTGTATTTCTGGTTCAACTTCCCTCAATCTTCAGCAACCTCTGAAAGCTATTGAGAAAATACATTCCTCATAATATTTAGGAAGTTCGTGTTTTGTATTATAAAATTCAATGTTTTTCCCAAACTTGTGGTTGATTTATCTCAATAATCAAAAGGTTAATCTCAATATTTAAATGTGTTCTTGAATCTTGTAATAATGATATAGGAAAGTAAAACAATAATCAACCACTTGTAAAAACGTACTGAACATTGGATATTTATAATAGGAAGTGTTTATGTAGTATATGATAAAAAACTTTTGAAAAACACAAACTAGGTTTTCTCAAAAAACACCGTCGCTCAAGCGGTAGGCAAGCGACATGCGAGTGAGAGGTGTGTCGCTCGAGCGAGAGGCGGATGACAATGATTCTGCTTTGGACGCTCGAGCATCAGCTAGGTGACGTGTTAGCATAAATCCGACGACTTTTTCTTCTTATTCCATATTCGAATTCGAAGACTCATAATTCATCTATACAACCATCCAAAAGATTCATTGACTTTTATTATTCTTTTGTAACAATCATATTATTTTACAATAATCATTTTGTCTAAAGAATTGTCAATACAACTAAAACCTAATAATTTTCCATTTTGATATTTTTGTGACAAAACTATATAATACAAGGATGTAAAAACAAAAATAATATATTCAAACTCAAGCTAAATGTCCGTCTCTTGCATTTTTCCTGAAATCAATAACTCAAATATCAAGTGTAAAAGCACGTAATACATGAAATATAATAATTGAAACAGACTATCAATGATCAGTAAATTTTCCCGCATACTCAGTTCAAGTCTAAATGGGGTTTATTGTTTAAGTGACTCGTGTGTTAAGTGCCACTAATTTTTTGTGATCAATCCTCCAAACTTTAAATTTGTGAGAAATTACTGGTTAAACATAACTTTTAAGTAAGCTTATTCTCCTATTAATGAAAGTCAAACCAATAATGCATATTAGGATATGTAAATAAAACTCATTTTTCATATATATTATTCTTTTCTCCCTCTTACTTTGAGCATATATACATTTTCACACAATTTATATTTTTCGTTTTTAGCTCATCATTTTTCTCTTCAATTTTTTACATCTTATGTGTAGACTCTTCTCCATTAAACGACTAACATAACCATGTAACGAGTTTTATGCCGGTAACTCCAAGTCATTGACCATAGGGCATCAGGATATGAGAAACACCTCGAACTTAATTACTCGAGTCAAATATGTTTCGAAAAATAGTATAAGATGAAACAATTTTATTTTATTTAAGGAGATATACTAGATCTTAAGTCAACTAAATCGAGGTCAATCATATTCAATGTCACCTTACCAACAGATGATGGCCATCCTAAATCTCACACACATGGTCAACACTTACTCACAAGATCATAGTGTGTGCAGTGCAGATGGTACATGAAAAAACTTATACTAAGTACTCCACATTAACCTAAACAAAGTAATGAAAAATATGTTACAGTACGTCAGTTAAATTCATACTTGGTCACAACACACACGTTCAAGTAAATCATATATCATGTTGTAGTAAAG